CGCAATCATCTATAAACATAATTTATTTTGCACGAGAAAATATAATTATATATATCATTTTCAATAGTCATAAAATAAGTAGAAGTAAGTTATCTAAATATTTGATTATATTCAATTTTAATTATAATTAAGTCAATTCAAAATTGTATAATTTACTATGAATTCATATAATTCATGGTAAATTAATATTTACCAATACAATGTAAATTATTTTATTACTTATTTGAATTAGATCATACTATTTGATGTTAATTGTATGATTATAACAACAATAACGAGTTACGTGAAAAAATTACTTATTTTTAAACCGAATTGATTGTAAATATATATATATATATATATACTAATTAGTATGTGAAAATAATTTATTTTGCATAAAAATATAATTGTATGTATCATTGTCAAAATTTTAATTTATAAGTGGATAAAGAATAAATTAGATAAATATTCAATTATATTGAAATTTACTTATAATTAAGTGAATCACACATATCAATTCAAATTCATTGTTAATTATTCATACAATTTCTTTATAATACGTGATAGATTGATATTCACCAATCTAATGTGATTAGATTATATTATTCAATGTTAATTGTATGATTATAACAACGATAAGTCATAAATCTTACGTTATTCTCATATTATATCATGTTTTATATTTTTTATATGGTTTAAATTTATGACCTCTAAACATAATATAATAGTTTTAATCATTAAATTACCGTGTTGTTGATAATATTATATATTAAAATAATAAAATATTTTTATAATATTTGAAAACATATATTTAAGTAATATTATGAACGTTCAATTAATATATTAATTTATTAAAAAAATGGTATAAAATAAAACTTTTTTAGTTGGTATCTATATAATGATGTAACATATTCTTCTATAAGCAACTTGATATAACATAGATATGTATATATATTTATTTGTTGGTCGTAGTGTTTTTTGAACAACTTGGTATAAATGAGTGTATTGATATTATATTTAGAGAGAAAGAGAAACAATCTTATAAAATTATTCATAATAAACTAGATTTATCTCTTCATTAAGCATGTTATATTAATTAAATTGTATATATTTTATTTTATTTTTCTCTTCTTGATTTTTTATATCTCATTATTCTAAAACAAAAGCTTGAGAAGATGTAACTTGTGACATGTGGTTATCTACATAATCAAAATTTTCTCAATCTTACTATAAAGTTCTAGATTATGCTTGGTCGGATGACATAAGATTTTGGATCCAAATATAAAATTAAGAATCTTGAGATTGAATAGAGTGTCCCCTACTAGTTACGTCAAACTTAATATTAATAATTTTTCGTTAGAAACCCTAGTAGTGTCTCTATACGTGACATCCTTGGATAATAATGATTATTACCTCATTGGATTTGTGTGTCATCTTGATCAGAGTCATCATATAGATACTAAGAGCAATGGGGTCTCGGGGGAGTTGAAGTTAGCTTGAAAGAATGTGGTTAAGAAATTATTCTATTGAAACATATAGTTGAGTGATCTATTAGGGTCCTCATAGGAAGCCATTATTTCAGAAGTTTTTCAACTCTTATTTTTTTATCTTTAAGTCATTCTAAGTAAAAATTTTATTATTTAATTAAATATTGTATGTATCTTTCATAATTTAGCAATAGAAATGATTTGGATTAAATTTTGTTTCAATGATATAAGAACCTTTTGCTTTTTTCTTCCGACTTTGATTTTTATAATGATAATATCGTCTAATTTGTTAATTTCATAAAAATCTAGCCAAGGTAGGAAATAAACCATAAGTATAAGTACATACATAACCATACATTGCATTCATTTCCTTAATTGAGAAGATTTATTCAAATCTTATGCCATTTTTAGTGATTATATTTATGGTTATGAATTATATACACGAATTGGAAAAATAAGTGACTCATAATTATTGAATCTAAATTTTAATTGAAAATAAAAAATTATTAATTAAATAATATAATTTAGATTGCAATCCTCTGTCTTTTGTACATAGGGATATTCAACGGTTCAAAATTAGATGGGCTTAAATCAAACGTGAAATTTTTTTGGATTAAAAACTAGATTGTTTCTTATTTTGTTCGATTTCATTTAGTACGAACCATATATTGTATTTAAAAAATTAATTTAGTCGATTCATACTAGAAGTGGACCGATACTTAGTGATTTCTTCAATCTTAATTATTTGAACCAATATCCAGATTGTTCTCCATCGGTTCAATTCGTTCTTTTTTTTTTTTTGTTGGGCCAAATAATGAAGACCTCAATCCATGTATATTTGTAATTTTATATTGATATTGTAGACAACTAAGAAAATATTTTAAAGTGAATTATGTGTAAATAATAATATATTTTATATGAGAAAATATGATTATATATATCATTAGCAAACCAAATTAAACTTAAATACAATGTATATTTGTATAAAGAGAGAGAGAGAGAGATAATTTACCATGTTATATTAATTGAATTATATATATCGTGTTTTATTTGTATTTTTTTTTATTTTTTATTGAATTATTATAAAAAAGAAGACTTATGATAAAGATAGAACTTGCAATATATGATTATCCATTGAATCAAATTTTTATTAATTTTAATAAGGATTCTAAATAATACATTTTCGAATGTATAAGATATTGTATCTAACGGATAGTTAAAAATTTTAAAATTAGATAAAATGCCTCCTACAGGTTAGATCAAAGTTCAATATTGATAGTTCATCGTTAAAATACTATAGCAACACCTCCATATATGACATTTAGTAGATAATAATGGTTATCGGCTCGTTGAACTTATACGTCATCTTTGCCACAGCCACTGTATGGATTTCTGATATTAATGAGACTTTGGAAGGGTTGAAGGTGGCTTGAAAAAGGTGGTTAAAAACTTAACATTCGAAGTCTTTTTTTTTTTCTTTTTTTTTTGGTATGCAAGTTTTTCGAAAAAATAAGAATATTGGATAATTCAATTTTATTATCAAAATTTATATTAAATATATTTTTTTTTGTAACCGACAAGTTCACATTTTTCACACATTTTATAAGACGAATATGTGGGTGGATTGCACGTATCTAAAAAAGCTTCATGACACATTCTTGTGCCCTTAAATTTATAGCCTTACTTGCATTTGAATTTTTAGTGTTACAATATGAGGTAAATTAACTACTCAAGCTATATAATAGTTTTTTTTTTTATTATATCAAAAAAGAAAGATCTCAATATAAAATGAAAAAATTATAAATATAAACATAATATTTTAAAAAAATTATTGTTAAATATACAAATACAATTTAGTTTGTACAAAGATAAATTTTTATATTAAATACAAAATTATTGTATTAATTGTGTTATCATAATATTTTATGTGTATTATTAACCACTTAAATCAATCATTGACAACCATAATAATACAATAAAATATACAAGTTATATATCTTTTGTGGGATTCAAAATCATGAATCAATAATAAATTAATAATAAATTTACAAATAAAACTTAAGATAGTGAGTTTGAATAATAGTATATATCACCATAAAAGCATAATAGCAATAATTAATTATTCCTAATTCAATTTACTTCATGAAGCACCTATAGATTTTATAAAGTAAATATAATTTAATTTTAATATTTTTACAATATAATTACATATTTATTAATATATTTTTAATATTTACTAATATTATATTATGAAATAAATAGTATACGATAAATAGATGGATTTCATTCGCACGTTTGTATTAATTATATTTAATAAAATAAAAAAAATATATAATTCCCAATTCCTTAAAAAAATTATATAATTTTCTTTTATACTCATAATAATTTACAAAATATTTCTGAAAAATATATTAAAATTTCTACATGTTTATAATGCCTAATTGGCAAATTTGAAATTGGCATGGAAAGAAAATTCCTTCATAATTCACGCACGTGCGGGAAAAGAACTTTCCAAAAATAATAATCTTAAAAAAAAAAAAAGGAAGAAGAAAATCCGCCAGGCGTTGTCTCTGCATTTGGTCGCCTTCCAAGATTCACCAAACCCACTGGCACAAACCCCGATTCCCGAGAAAATCCACAGACACGAAAAGCTTCATTCATGGATTCCCGGAAATTGTCAGCTTTACTTTCTTCTCTCGTCTCTCAAGTAATCCTCCTCCTCTTCCTCTTCCCGTCGTCTTCTTCAACCCCTCACTCCCTCTCATCCGATTCCAATTCACAAGAAAACCTCTTCCCTCTCCTCCAACATTTTCTCTGTTCCCAAGAAATCCTCACCTCGCTGGTTCTCTCAATTTCCCGGAAACGGAAGAGAACCCTTTTTCCAGACCCGGAATCCGAACCGACCCACGAAGACAGATACTCCCCGCCGAGAGAGGTCCGTCTGACTCGAAGTCCCGGGTCGTTCAAGACCTGCTTCAACATGACATCCACGACATTCGAATGGCTCTCCGGCTTACTCGAACCGCTACTCGAGTGCCGTGACCCGGTTGGTTCGCCTCTCAATCTCTCCGCAGAGCTCCGACTCGGAATCGGCCTTTACCGGTTAGCCAACGGGTCAAATTATTCCGACATCGCGACACGATTTGGGGTACCCGAGTCGGTGACCCGGTTCTGCGCCAAGCAACTCTGTCGAGTTCTCTGCACTAATTTCCGGTTCTGGGTCGCGTTTCCTAGCCAAGATGAACTCAAATCTGTGTCGAATTCTTTCGAGGAACTAACTGGTTTGCCGAATTGCTGCGGTGTTATTGATTGTGCGAGGTTCAAGATTGTTAAAGACGATGAAACATGGAAGGAGGATAGCATTGCAGTGCAAATCGTGGTCGATTCTTCGTCTCGGATTCTGAGCATTGTTGCAGGTTTTCGAGGGGATAAACCAGATTCAACTGTGCTTAAGTTATCAACTCTGCACAAAGATATTGAAGAGGGAAGGGTATTGAATTCGAATCCGGTTTATGTCAATGGGGCGGCAGTGAATCAGTACTTGGTTGGAAATGGTGGTTACCCTCTACTTCCATGGTTAATTGTACCTTATGAGGATTTTCTTCCAGGTTCATGTGAAGAAAAATTCAATGCAGCCCATAGATTTCTCCGGGTTCCTGCATTGAAAGCCATTGCTAGTTTGAAGAATTGGGGGGTGTTGAGTAAACCCATCAGAGAGGAGGTTAAGTCTGCTGTGGCTTTTATAGGTGCCTGTTCAATTCTGCACAATGTTTTGCTGATGAGAGAGGATGATTCTGCATTATGTGATTGTTCAGGGGATGATTACGATCATCAATTCCATGGGGAGTTTAGGAATTTGGAGGATGATTCGAAAAAGGGTTTCGAAATTCGTAGAGCATTGGCTGCAAAAGCAGCAGAATTTCATGATTCAAGATCGATGCAGAGTGATTAAGAAGCTTGGCTGCTGGAAATTCTGTAATTAGTAGAGAACCAAGATGATTGGACATGGGTTCTTCTTCTTCACACATTTTTGAGATAGGTAATTCAAAATTCTTTCTGGATAATAATTTATGAAGTTCATTCATGTTGATTTTCTGGGTAATAACTGATTTGATTTGATTTGATTTAACATTAATCTCAATAAAAAAAAAAAACCCCCTTCAAATTTGTTCTTTCTTTTCTAGCTTAAATCTTTGAGTAGTATTTGAAGAGGCACTCAGAGCTGCATCCCTCTGATAGCTTTCTTTTTTTGACTTTCCCTTTGTATTAAGAGGAAAATGTACATGTCGAAAACTTGATAGAACATTCATGGAGTTAAAAAGAATCCATCCATGGCTGCTTCCCCATTCATTTCTTCTTATTATTTGTACATGTTGGAAATATGGACTGTACTTTTTCTGCCCAAATCCAACACCATCAAATGGTATGCAGCTTTTCACCCAGACAGTAATTTACCTACAAATCTGATTTGCTGAATGATCTTCGTCTTGAGCTGTTATTGATTATCGTAACTAAGAAAATTCTTCGGAAACGTAATAAATTCGTTGAAACTTAATCTAACTCAGTTACCTGCACCTCTAACAATACATTAGTTAATTAAGTTTTTGATTATATTAAATTAAGTATTGTAAGTCGATCATTATAAGTCTATAACATATTAAATGATAACTTCTACATTATCTCGATAATTTTTAAATAGAAAAATTATGCGATATTGGTTTTGATATACAAAATCAAACACTTATATATATATATATATATGTATTTACTTATATGATTTCTTAGTTTCCTTAACTTGCACAATCATTGATGGACAACTTTAAGCCATTGTGCAAAATTGTCCAATTGATTTGATGTTTTGAAGATGTAACACCATTATACTCAAACTCTAGTTTGAGCTACTAAATAAAAATTTTGATAAGTTATTAAATTAATTTGTAAAATTAAATATTTATTATAATTCAATTCTTAATATTTTTCGTTACAATTTGATTATTTAAAATATTTTTTATTTATTTTAAATTATTATAATTTTTTTTATCAGTAAATAAAATAAAATTAAACATTTAAATCAAATAAAAATTACGAGAAATCAAATTATAATTTGTGTCAAATTTTAAGAACTAATTTGATAATTTATCCTAAAAAAAAACGTACGAGAATTGCGTTATATTTATAATAAATATAAAATTTATATAAAAATTATCGATAAATTCGTAATTATTTTAACTATTATATACAAAAATTTATATTTTAAATAATAAAAATTTGAGTTTAGCACAAGACTGGATCTTGGCAATATTATTAGGGAACCCATAGACTTTTGATTTGTTTACAACCGGGTCCCAATGACCCTGTAAATGACCCGTTACCCGGATCCGGAACTCGACCCGGATCCATAGGGCCCTTAAAGTTTCCGTCCCCTTCCATAGGCCGCCCAGACCCAGACGACGTCGACCAGGCCCGCGAGTGGCTGATTATGTATAAATTTATAAATAAATTTAAAATATATTTATTTTTAGTAGTTTATATTTAAATAAATTAAAAAATAATATAAATAAGATGATAAAAATTAATTATATATGAAATCTAATGCAAAACTAAAATAAAAAAATAATCAATTTTATATATTTAAAATGTGTCTTCATGTTAATTTAAATTTTTATTATTTTCTAAGAAAATTTATACGCGTATAATGAATTAAAGCAATATATATAACGTCCTTATCACGTCGAATTTAACGGGGGTGGCATGGTTGGCCAACATCTAACGGCGTGTTACTACCCGGTTCAACGGCTTTGACTGAACCTTAAACGGCAACCCCCGGGTAAGTATTCTACTCAACTTTCTTAGGGAAAGGACGTAAAGGAGGTCCGTCGTCGTTTTACAATATTTGACTTCTCGCCAACCCCTATATTACATATATATATATATATTAAAAAATATTATATAAAAATATCACAATTATGAATATTTTGATATATTTATACAATTATGGAAATTCTATATTATTAATATAACTTTTTTCTTTATAAATTCATTACAAAATATTTTTTTTATTAAAAATTATAATAATTTCGTTAAAAATTAAATTAATTTAATCACCATAATTTTAACAATATATTAATAAATTAAATTTTTAATATTACTCAATTAAGTATTAAGTGAAATTAAATAATTATTTAATTAAATTTTGTTAGTTTTATTCTAATTATATTTATATATAAATAAATAAATAAAATTTCAAATGGTACTCCAATTTTTGTTAGTACAATAATGGGTTAGGTTAACAATAATTGACCCAATTGCTCTATAAATTTGATATGCATAATAATTTTTGTATAGGCAAATATACATACACACATATATATATATATATATATAGCACTTACATGTTAAAATGAGTACTCCTTATTTAATTTTGGGAAAAAAAAATATGTAAATGCCATTTTTATTATTACATACGATGACTACACCAAACATACAATAGACACGTATATACATAGTCAATCAATATCATAACATTCACTTTTGAAATATAAAAAACTATATATATACTCTTGTATACCTAATTTTTTTGGTGGGACAAGTAGGGATTTAAAAAAAAAAATTATGGTTTAATATAAATAACTATATATATATATATATGTACATGTATTGAAATAATGGCCAGCCATTATTTCAATGCCTTATCTATTACTAAATTAATTCATATATATATATATATCCCCTTTAAATGATATTAAATTCCTATAATTTATAGTTTCATTAAACCTTGTAAATATTTAAATTAAATATATATTTTTAACGACCTTTTCTAAAAAAAGTATTTCGAGACTAATTAATATGACGTCAGCCAATAACTATTTGTTGAGTAAACTTTTTTTGTGGAGTGCAGACACACCCACCAACTCCCTCTGCACCAACCCTCTTACTGCCACGTGTGAGTCAACCACGTCGTAGGTCCCACCACTTCCTTGAACCACCAAACGCCGTCACCACGTGGTAACCCCCATTTATTTATTTATTTTAATTTCATATTTTGTTTTAAAAAAATTTTAATTATCTTTATGCCAATTATAAATAGTTAAAAGTAAAAAATATATATATTATATTTATTTACAAATAAATAAATTTCTTAATGTTGGCGGTTAATTTATCTCTAAAAATTATGTAAGAACTTCTAAATGTTTAAAAATTATGACGTCATAAATATTTTAAATGATTTCATTTATAATAAAATAATTTAAGTTACATAGAACAATGGGTCAAAAAATGGGCCCAAGACTGGTAATGCTAACACCCAACATCACCTCACCAACCCCCGGCCGGGTTGGCGGGCGGTCTAACCACCGCGTATCTAATCCGAACCGGTTTCTGAACCTCCATATATACCTCTCCACTTCCATTTCAAATCTCAGGTAACCTCTAAACCACTTCCCAATTCCAAATTCAGGAGGGGATCTCAGAAGTATCAGAAGAGCTTTCATCAATGGCCGCCAATGGAGAAGAGAACCAATCTCAGATCGGGAGGCACCAAGAAGTTGGCCACAAAAGTCTGTTGCAGAGCGATGACCTTTACCAGGTTTGTATAAAGCATCATACGGTCACGTTTTCGTTCGATTTGGTGGATTATGGTGTAACTTTCGTTCGTTCTTTGCAGTATATACTGGAGACCAGTGTGTATCCGAGGGAGCCTGAGCCGATGAAGGAGCTCAGAGAGTTGACTGCTAAGCATCCATGGTTGGTTTAATTGGACAGATGATCACTCAGATTTCTATATCCTTTTGTTTTAAAATTAGATGTGTTCTCTAATTGAATGATTTGAATTTGAATTTTGGAAATTAACAGGAACATCATGTCGACCTCAGCCGACGAAGGGCAATTCTTAACCATGCTGCTCAAGCTCATGAATGCCAAAAACACAATGGAGATTGGCGTTTACACTGGCTACTCTCTCTTGGCGACAGCTCTTGCTCTTCCTGATGATGGAAAGGTCAGCTGTTTAAATTTTAAGTTGATTTCGTGAATGAATCAAATTTGCTCATAAATCCTCTCTTCAATCACGCGATCTAGAAAATAATTTTAGTTCGTCTTTTGCAATTGATTGCTGCAGATCTTGGCCATGGACATTAACAAAGAGAATTACGAGCTCGGTCTACCTGTAATTCAAAAGGCTGGCGTTGCTCACAAGATCGAATTCGGAGAAGGCCCTGCTATGCCTGTTCTTGATGAGATGCTTACAGATGTAAGTAAATAATTATAACTATTTATGACTAATTTTTATTTGCATTGATTGCTTTTTGAAACTGCAATTATATATTTGATCCTCAAATTATTATATTCTT